CCCCACCTGGCGGTGCTTTCCACTTCTCCACGTGCCTTTTGTGTGCTCCGCCACTGGAGGGCGTGCGCCTCGAGCAGGCGCTATCATTAGGGTTTCCTGAGTCCAGAGCCAGGCAGAGGGTCCTGTTTCCACACCACTGGCCCCACACGGCCCATTTGAACTGACTTTTCTGCTATCCCTGAAGCCATTAAGGAGTCCAGGGGCCAGCCCCGCCTGGAGCCCCTGGAGCAGACTGTGTCCAGCCCGGACAGGGTCGGCGCTTCCCCAGCCTCTGCTCTCTCAAGAACACATCTGGCAATGAAAACTTGGATGCATGAGCACTAACAAATTGAATCAGTTGTTTCAAAATTCATGAAGACCTGCAAACGCAGGAGCTGGGGTATTGGGTGGGGACCCCACAGAGCAGAGACTACCAAGGGTCCCGTGTGTGTGCCCACACTGGGGCCACCACCTGACCTCACGTGTTTCCGGCTGAAGTGGGAATCTCCAGTCCTTTCCCGCAGAGAGGGGCTGAGGGCAGGCCTGAGGGCCCAGGTGTTGCCAATTTCTCAAGCATCAAGGTGTGATTCACACACCGGCCACATGGGGCCACCCTTGGGCCAGCCTGTTGGGCTCTGAGGGCAGAGTGGGTGCGGCCAGGCCCTGCCCAGCCAGGCGATGCAGGAGGCCCTGGGGCGCTTTTGTTCCCCATTTCACAAATAAGGAAGTGGTTTCCCACAGACCTGCCTTCCAGCTGAAGAAATACCTGCTCTCACACCTCAGGGCTGGGGAGTGGGGGGAGCTGGTACTTTTTCTTAAACTTCTGTTCCTCTCTGGGTTTATAGCAAGAGGAAGTGGGAGTGAGTGACCTGAATCTGAGAGGACTGATTTGAGCCCATGGAAGCGGCTGTGTGGGTCTGAGCAGAGGAGGGATGACCACTGTGCCTCACGTTGCTCCAGGGCCTGCCAACCTCTCTTCCGGAGCAGCAGCCCTGGGTGCTGCAGAAGGGACCCAGGCCAGGGGGGAGACGACTCGTGGCTCCTGCACTCGCAGCGTCTTCACCCCCTTTGCACTGCTGCCTTAATCTTTGGAACAGGGACAAAGGTTTCTGTCACCGTGATTGCTTTCGCGGACACTCATTCGGTTCTAGTATTTTCCATGGTGCCTGAAAGGTTAACATGGTAGTGTGGGTAGGCTAAATAGCCGTCTCAGATGGATGAATAACAAAAATTTAAATTTATTAAAAGGGGATGGGATATCCAAAGGGAAGGGCTACACAGCACTGAGCCAAAGGGTATTGGGTCCATGATGGCAGCAAAAATATACTTGGGACAGTGAAGCGAGGAAGGGCACAGAAGCAACAGGAGACACTGGCTGGGCTGCTCTGGCTCGCTGAGAGGTCAGAGAAGGGGGCCTTGCAGACAGGTTCAGGGGGCAAGCCTGGGTTGAGGTGCCACTGCCCACTGCTCCTCTGGTTGCAAGTCTCGTAGGGGTCCCCTTGGAGGGATGGAGATGGCGCTGGCATGTTCCCCTGGTGGGGAGCACGCACTGGGGCCTTTGTCCCGAACGCATCTTTCTCTTGCAGGTGAGAATCTTAGGGGAGGGTCTCAATAGAATATTCATGAGCTCTCCAGGGCTGCTCTTTCAGGGTCGTGGTCTCCAATGATTGGTCAGCGCCAGGGCGGGGTCATTAGTCAATGTAGCTGGCGGCACCACTTACCTGTTTTCACTGCTTTGCTGGGCCTGGAGCTGAAATACACCTGAGGCCTGGATGTTATCTTTAGAGAGGAACGCTCAAGGGGTATAAACCACAGGATCAGTGATATGCTGGGGAGGACAGGTTCCCCTGGGGACAAGGTTCTTGTTTTCCCACAGGTTCCCCTGGGGACAAGGTTCTTGTTTTCCCAGTTTCGCCCCTTGCTAGGCATCAGGGCTTCCTGCCTGGTGAGTCTCCATACCCGGATTTCTGTACCTGGCCATGTAACAGCACCTATGTCACCGAGCAGGAATAATAGAGGGTCGGCCCTCACTGCCACTCCCTCCAAGGTCTGGGCACTTCTCTGCCTCAACACGAAGTAAATACTGAACCAAAGTGAGAACGAAGAGCAGAGCAGGCAGCACCTTCAACCCGCGGGACAGGCCTGGCCTGACTTCTCATTTTTTCCTAAGTTTGCCCTTGAGGCCAGGTTCTTTCTAGGGTGACACAGGAAAGGACGATGGGGAGTGTGACTCACCGCATGGTGATAAACACGGTGCCCGTTTCAGGGCTGTTTCCTCACTCAGGAGTCAGGCTTCTCCTGAGCAACTGAGGGACCGGCAGCAGCCCAGCTGGCCTCCTGGCAGGCTGGAGACCCAGGCCTGAGCCCCTTGAAGCTGGGGCGGAGCAGGACGGGGCTCTGGCTGAGATCTCAGAGGCCACCTGTGGGCTTGTCTGCAGCCAGCGAGCCAGGGCCTGAGTTTGGGGTGTGTTTGGGGTGCAGTGCTCCTAATCCTCAGCCTTCAGGCACCTCTTGCTCAGCACCTGCTCCCAGGTGCCTGCCAGGGACTTTCTGTCACCCCAGGTGGATTCCCCAAACTCCATCTTCTGTCTCCACCCTGAAGCCTGGCCCTCGGGGAATGGCAGGCAGGTCCTGGATGGAGGAGGGGACATGTGAGTCCTTCGCCAGCGCTGCCGCTCAGGGCACCTTCCCCACCTCCTCCCTACAGCCTCTGGGCCCTCCGTGCCCACCTCAACCCTCCCCTGGAGGCCACGCCCCTGGGGAACACACGGATGCACAGGCAGCCTCTGCTCGGCATAAGGCCCAGCGAATGTGGGCCATCCTGCTTCCACGTGTGTGCATGTGTGTCCATGCGTGTCTGGGCTCTGGAGCACAGTGCAGCCCCTTGAGGTACAAGGGACGCTGAAGGGAGAGTACAAGCTGCGCCTACCATGTCCTGGCTCCTCTGCTCCGCCCAAGTAGGCAGCCTGGCCTGGGTCAGAGGCGGCCTGGGCCTGTCCTGATTCAGGCTCTAGGCCAGGCCCTCTCCAGCTATTTCCTGCCCCTCCCCCAGCTGCCAAGCTGCTGTGAGCTGAGCTATGAGCTGAGCTGTGAGCCCCCCCTCCCTCATCTCTGTGTGGATCCTCCTGCTCCTGACACAGCGCCCAGTGGTGCGGTGCTGCTTTTAGCACAGATTCCCACAACCAGATGGTCTAGACCCCCCACCAAGGCTTGCACACCCCACCCCACCACCACCTATTGAGGCTTGGTCCCCTCACTGAGGCCCATTGGAGCCTTCCTGACCCTTGAGTCTCAAGGTTGGGAGAGCAGATACTCTGCTCCAATCCTCTTAACAAGGGCTGGGATCCAGTCCTGGGAGCTGTGCAGCTCTGATCTGTGCTGTGGGGGGCAGGGGCTGCTGTGGCCCCCCCCACCCTGACAGACACACCATCTGACTCAGGGCACACATGGGCTGTGACTCAGGCAGAAACCCTGACGGAGGCTTGCGGTTCTGAGTCTGACGCTGCTTCTGCGGCCATGGAGTAGGGGCTGGAGGGGGGGGGGGCACACTCAGCCCAGGAGCATGGGGGACAGGCAATGAGGCTGTGAAATCCCAGAACAGAACAAAGGCTAGGGTGGGCCCCAATCCCCCACTCTGGGTGCGAAAGCAGCAAGGAAGCTTGAATGCCAGGACAGAGAAGCCTTTGCCTGTCCCCCAGCCAAGCTCAGTGTCCGGGAACATCCTGGCTGCACCAACACACTGCCCTGAAGCCCCATCTCAGGGCTAGGAGCTGCTTGCCTGGCACCTTCCTGCTCACCCTCCAGGCAGGGCCCAAGGCAAGCTCCTTCCCAGGGGCCAGGGATGCCATGTGGACTGTGTGGGGCCTATGCTGTAGGCCTAGCTCCACCCTGACCACCCAAACCCCAGAGCAAAGCAGGGTGACCTCTCCATCTCAAGGGAATGCAGCAAGGTACCTAGGACCACCCAGCAAGGACAGCAAGCACAGCCCGCTGAGGGCTTTTCCAGTCTTCATGGCCCCCAGGCAAAGTGGACCACCCGAGGGACACAACTTCCCGTGAGCAGGTTCTCCCACAGGGATTCAGGTTGGTGGACACACGATACTGACAGCCACCCTGGGGGCAGGGGACATGTTCCATGTTCACAGACACTATGACAACAAGACCCCTCAAGGCTGAAGGCAACCAGACCCAAGATTCACCTCCAAACTTGTTGGTGGTGGGGCAAACTTCAGGTGACACTGGCCAGGAGCCCATGAGCAGCCCTGAGTCCCTGGACTCCACCCTTGTGAACTCTTCATACTGATGCTACCCCAGCCTTTGTTAAAGTTGTCCCTCAGCCTGCTGGACAGTGTGCAGCCACATCTGCAAGAACCCTGGTCTGGGGGAGGTCCACATGGGTTCAAGTTCAGGGTCTAGTTGACTTGGGAGCCTTTCCCTGTGGCCTCTTGCTCATTGGTGCTCAGCCCCACGTCTGGTCAGCTCCCTAATCCGCTGGTCCTTCAGCTTCACCAGGTGCTCCAGCCTGACCACCTTCATCTGCAAAACCTTAAAGAAAACACACATTTCTGAAAGATTTTAGCACAACCGATGCCCTGTCCCCCTGCCAGAGCCAGGCAGCTCCAGCCCCCGAGCTGAGTGTCCAGTCAGCCATACTACAAGGCCACATGGGACTGTCATACCCAAGGCCATTGAGTGGTACACCCGGAGGGAGTGCCTCAGGAAAGGTCCTGCGGAGTCACGGGAGGGCTGGCTTTCCCCCCACCTTGCCGCCTGTCCCTCTGCAGACCCAGGAGCAAGCCCGCGTTAGTGCTCTGCAGTCACTGTGGATGGATGGTGTGTGCCAGGGTTGCTTCTAAGTTAATAGTCAAGACAGCGTTAATGTGCAGGTGACGTGTTGTAGAATTCTACACATGAAACCTCTATAATTTTATTGACCAATGTAACCCCAAGTCAAATTTTTAAAAACCCGCCAATAAACCCAGTTTCATCAGGAAAAAAAAACCGTTTCATGAGGAATGAGGGCCTGGCCCGGCCTCCGTCAGGGACTCCACGTCATCGGCCTTCCCTCCTGGAGGCGCGGACCCACCACATGCCACCACGCAAGGAAAAGGGAAAAGGGGATTTGAAAAGCCTCATCTGCCCCCAACACCATGTCCAAGGTGACGTCAACAGCGTGACAGCCCACACTACAGGCTGCTCCAGCCAGCCAAAGCAGGGAGTCAGAGTTCCTCCATGAACCCCGGGCAGCTTGGGCCAGCAAGTGCCCGTCCACACTGCCCAGATCCTGGCCACCCCCCAGGGCCCACTCCTCAGCAATAAGCTGTGAAGGGCAGGGGTGGCCCGAGGCTGCCCACTGTGCAGACTTCCTCCTTGGGCCAACACAGAAGGTGCCTATCTGCTCCCCATGCGCAGGCCCTCAGCTGCTGCCCCGCACGGCCCCTGGGCATCTGTCACCCCACCTGAAACATCCACACCAACAACAATCACTGAATGACAGGTAGAGCTGCTGTCCCCACTGGATTTCGTAAAATAAATAGTTAAAATCCACTTTGTTGGCACATGGACCAGAGACCCAGGCTAGGACAGATCTTGCTGAGGCAGCAGCTTCATGTCTCCTCATCACTTCCTCTCTGCTGTCCATCAGCAAAGGCAAACCACACGGTGATATCACTTTCCTGCTTTCTCAAGAAAACAGCTCACGAAGACCACGCACAACATACATCCGGGAACCACCCTGGCATCACAATTCCTGGTGGCCCCTCTGACTCTGAACAGATTGGTGCAGTCTGCACCCCACCCCACCCCTACCATCTCCAATCGAAGCTGCGCCTGTGCTCCCACCAGGTGGTCATTCTCTGGCAGTGAGGGACCTGAGCACTTCCTGAACTCAGGACCACTGTAGACCCTTGGTGAAGGCACATGTCCTTAGAACCAGGTGTCTGTCCTTGGAATTAGGTGTGCACCCTCAGAACCAGGTGTGCGCCCTCAGAACCAGATGTGTGCCCTCAGAACCAGGTGTGCAACCTCAGAACCAGGTGTGTGCCCTCAGAACCAGGTGTGTGCTCTCAGACCAGGTGTGCACAAGAGAACCAGGTGTTTGCCCTCAGAACCAGGTTTGTGCCCTCAGAACCAGGTGTGTGCCCTCAGAACCAGATGTGTGCGACCTCAGAACCAGGTGTGCGACCTCAGAACCAGGTGTGTGCCCTCAGAACCAGGTGTGTGCTCTCAGACCAGGTGTGCACAAGAGAACCAGGTGTTTGCCCTCAGAACCAGGTTTGTGCCCTCAGAACCAGGTGTGTGCCCTCAGAACCAGATGTGTGCGACCTCAGAACCAGGTGTGCGACCTCAGAACCAGGTGTGTGCCCTCAAAACCAGGTGTGCGCTCTCAGAAACAGGTGTGGGGCATGGAGGGGCACCTGGTCACCGTACCTTGACAGTCTCCTGCAGAATGGCCAGCGCCTGCTCTTTTTCCTCTAGCAGCTGCTGCACCCCAGGGCCCGGGTGCTCCCAGGGCCCCCCTGGATGGGTCCCGACTGAAAGGCAAACACCTGGCCTTTAACCCGGCAGCTGGCAGGAAAGGGTAGCTGGGGTGCAATGGCAGAGTGTTCGAGAGACAGGGGCCCACCCTCTGCACGCACAGTGTCCCATCTTCTCTACAGCCTGCTCAGTCTGAAGGGTCTTCACGCCAGAGGGCACTGGGAGGCTCGGCAGGCCTGCAAGACAAACAGACAGGGCTCAGGTCCCCACCTCAGAGAGAAACCTGGCCAGCAGTAGCACACAGGATGGGGACAGAGCCCACACAGACAGTGCCATGTGGGCATGGCACGGCCTAATGCCATCCCTGGATGCCTCCAAAGGCTTCCACTTGGAGATGTGTCCACTGAACAGCAGCAGCCCTATGTGGCCCCTGGACAGCAGCTGTGAGCTCCCACTCAGGAGGCTTCAGCCCGGGAGGTGATGGTGTCAGGACTCTCCTCTCAGGCCCCTCAGAGTGAGGAGCTGCCCTCCTGGGGGGCGCTAGCCCCACTGGGCCAGTGTCACCTGAGCATACCTGCCCTCCCTTCCAGGTGTGTGAACACACCAGTCTCTGCGGCACTGCCCCTTTCAGGAGGCTGTTTCCCACATCGGGTTTGGATATTACCAGCGTGGGGGGTAGTCGTGAGCCCCATCCACAGTCCATTGGCATCAGCACTGGAGACTCCTGGGTCCTGCAAAAATTTCAGTTTGACAGTGAGATGCAGCCCAGCAGTGCTCACACCAGACCTCGTAGCCAGCTTGCCTCCCTGCATTTCCCAGTCACAGAGGGGAGGGGTGGGTGGAGGGGGTGTGACCTGCGGAGGCCTGGGAACAAGAATTGTGAAAAGTGAGTTTCACTGTCCCAGACGGGGGAGGACCAGGGGCTTCATCACCACTTATTTCCTGGTACCACTTTCTCATTGGCAGATCATGAGGCAATATCCAAACACGACACAGTGGTTCAAAGGTGGTACGTACAATTGCACGGCCAAGCACAGCTGCATTCGGTGGGTCCTCACAGACAGCGCCATCTACCACCTTTTCCCTTAGCAAACACAAGATGGGCTCAATGGCCCCAGGCGTGTTGGCCACCACCTTTCGGATATCCGCCTCTGAGACACAGAAACGCAGCTTGTGAAAGACTTTCCTGTGGAGAAAGCGGAAC